ACAATGTAATTTGGCACGTGCCCAAGATTAAAGTTAGTATACTATGCTTGCTCCCTGATGGGTTTTTTCCTTCCATTTTGCACAGCTTCTGCATAATGTTATCCGTTGCTTCAAAATTTTCTTTCACCCTTTCCAACTATTTTAGATGGAATTATGGAAACAAGGCAGCAGGATTACTATATATGACAAAACTTATTGGACCAAATAATGAAGTTAAGCACTCAGGCATACAGTCTTCATAGACTTACACTGGATTTTAAATTATGGTATTTATATGACTTTGTATCATTCTACACGGTACTTATCAAAATTCTTCACATGAGAAAAATTCAAAACTTTCTGGCTTGGTTTGAATTAGTAACAATTCCCAGAGATCTCCACATGAATTATTACAGGGTAGCAAGCTTCAAATTCAGTTACCAGATTACTCAGTTTTATGCAGAGAGCTAGCCACTAAAATAAGGCAGGTAGTTTTTCCTCTTTAAAAAAACAGAGAAATGAGACAAAATGTGACAGGTGTCAGTCAAGTGCCTAAGAGTACTGTTGGAAAGACGGCCCACCAGTAAGATGCCATGCATGAACCGAACAGCAGTCCATACCCTGTTCCCACCATAAAAGTTATACAATAATTCAAAAGTTACTTTTTCCAAGGTTGTAATTATATTTTATTCTCTTGATACTGTCAGCCTGAATGTTGTAGTCATAGTGAACTGATACTCTTAGTTACATCATGTAGATTTGGACTTGTTCATTTCTGTTACATAATTGCAATTTTTTTTTCAGAGATAAACACAAGGAGGATACGTAGCTGCCTGTGTCTACACTAGAAGCTCTATGTGCTGGGATCTGAAAACCATGCTGTTCTTGTAGCTAGAAGTTATTTGTTTAAGTTTTAATTACTTTTACAGCTATGGACTATGTTTACATAAAAGATATCTGACTTGCAAGTTGATTTATTTGGACTAAATGTTAAAGGTGCTAGAAAGCATGAAGAACCAGTGAAATATTGGGAAAATGGCATTTATTGTAGAAAAACATTACAGGCAAGAAGCCAGCATAAAAACACCAGGACAAAACGTTGGAAGCACAACTGCCTGCAGAACTTGCCAAAAAAGCAAATGAAACTGCTGAGGGAACATTTTCTGCAGTATATCTTGGTGTTGTAATGCTCAGCCACATCCCATGTGTGGCCTTGTTTGTTGACCCTTGTTATTGGCAAAGAACATTTTTTAAAAAAAAAAAAAAAAAAAAAAGAAAAGAGCTCAATGAGTGCTGAGAATTACGAACTGAAGAAACTTTTTATTGAGGAGTCACAGTCTAACAAAATCACAGAATCATAGAATCACAGAATGGTTTGGGTTAGAAGGGACCTTAAAGATCACCCATTTCCAACCCCCCCGCCATGGGCAGGGACACCTTCCACCAGACCAGGTCGCTCAAAGCCCCATCCAGCCTGGCCTTGATCACTGCCAGGGAGGGGGCAGCCACAGCTTCTCTGGGCAGCCTGTGCCAGTGTCTCACCACCCTCACAGTAAAGAACAATACAAAATAGAAAATAAATTAATTTTACGGGTCTGACAAGTAAACACAATGACATCATTATATCTTAGTGTATGGTAAGAATATTATTAAAAGGATTTTTCAGAAGAAATATATTATTACCATTATTACCAATATAACATTACCAAAACAGTATTTAACGAGGTTAGTTCAATAGTGCACAAGGAATCTTTTACCAATTTTGGCAACGATTTAGCACAACACCTATAAGCTAAACTGTGATTTTAAGCATTTCATAGAACCACAGCAGCATATAAGGCAATTTATATGTTTAAATGCATAAAATAATTTACTTATCAGAATTGAGCTTCCAATGAATATGTCCAGTTATTGATATGCAACACTGCTTTAAAGAAAAAGCGTTGAACAAAGAAATCTCTAAATAAAGTTGAGGGAGAATTATATTAATGGGACAGTGTATACCCTGATTTCAGTAAATATTGAAATAAATAAAAAATAACTAACAAAGTTATTTTAATCTTTAAATACTAATTTTTAAGCAACATGCAACAAAAAGAATAAAAGGTCTGGCCATAAATATATCTCCACTACCCAAACACAAGGGAAAAAAAAAAGGGACTTCCAAAAATATCCTGGAAACAACAAATGCAGTTTCTGACAGACCAAGAGCAGTCCAAGCAAGCTTTCCCTTATGCCCCTCAAGTTTCAGGCTGAGTTGAATTATTCCTTTATAACCTTAGTAGTAGAGAGCATTTTCTGAGTCAGTCTCAAAGACAGAATCCTCAAAAAAAAACCAAAACCAACAACTCTTTGTAAAGGCTTCGCTATAGTCCTCTTCTGTAGTTTTGAAATAAAGGCACACACAGAAATCTCACTGGTGAAGGTTAAAAAACACAAGACAAATAGTTCAGCTGTGTAAGTCCTTACCACAGACTTTTATGGAAACTGAAAGTACAGTGTATCAGCACAGTTCAAAAGGAATTAGGCAAATTCAAGACTGACATTAACTGCAATGGTCTTGATCTCAAGCTTAAATGCCTCTAATTTGTTGAACAGCCAAAAAGAATGGAGGTATACAAGAAGGATCTTCTTGAATGGAGGTATACAAGAAGGATCTTCTTTGTGTATCCTGTTCTTTATTTTTGTATCCTGCTATTGTTGTCTGCTGCTGAACAATATGGAACATTTTAATCAAGTATTCTATGTTCTTTCATGAATATATTTTTATTTTTCAATTAACCTAGAATCTCTATTTTTTTCTTTAATTATTTGCTTTCTTCAACCAGCTCCTCCTCATTTTTTTTTGTTTGTTTAATTCTGTTGAAGTATATACTTGGCTTTAATTTTTTTTTAATCTTTCACTTCATGAAATACATATTTCACTATGTCTCTTTTCAACTAATAACTCTTTTTCTTCTCTGATATTTCTCAATTAATTTCTTTTCTGTTGCTTATAGTGACTTGAGTATGGAAGTAAGACTGTAAACACACATTTTACAGATCACATAGCCTGCAGAAACAAATGGAATAATTTTGTAATACTGTCTTTGTCATTGCAAAATACTTACCTCTCCTTGTTCTCCACTCAATCCTTCTACTCCCTTTAGGAATCAACATGGAAAAAAATATTAAAAAAGCAAATTGAGTCAGATTACTTGGAATCAAAAAATAGTGGTTTTGTCCTTTGTTTTCAACAATTAATCATAAATGTCACGTTTTTTAAATATTCTGTGATCGCTATCTGTAAAAAAAAAACAAACTGCATATAAGGACGAAAAATGGATATCACAGCGAATTAGCACTTTAGTAATACCTTTAATATCATACACCAAAGGGTAAGTTTGGAATATATCATACATATTAGAAACAAATAGACATAATATAGACATATAAAGAAAACCTTATTCACTCTACAAAAGAAACAAATTTTTGTGTTCTAGCAAAAGGAAACTCCTGATTCTATCTGTTTAGTATTCTCTTACTAGACAGAAATCAAGTTCAGAGCTTTTGAAATACAAACTGAGTTTGTAAGCTAGATTTTGCCTGTTGGCAAATGGTTGTGGTGTCATTTCTGCCAAACAGTTCAATGGTGTTATTGATTATTAAATTCCATGGCAAGACGGCAGTTCAGTGCAGGCTTTTTCACTTTTCTGATGTACTCTTATGGACAAGGGAATCTGTATTGTCTTTGAGAAGTCCTGTAGGCTCAAGAAGCCTTGGAAGGACCTAGTGCTGTCTACCAGAAGTATTTGAATGACTGATCTTTTGGGTGCTGCCCAAACTAGATAAGCATGGGAAACAATTTTAGACCAAGCCCGTATTTTTTCAGCTTTCTCCCCCCCAAAAAGCAAGCAACAGCAATTCAGTTGCATCGTTCTATCTGAAAAAGAATTGTTTTCTTGCACTATCACTTGTTTTACTCTATGATTAAAATAATAAATATATTAAAAATTTGTCCTTTAGTTGCAAAAGGAAAAAATAGAAAGTTTAATTTGTAAAACGTTAGAGTAGGACATTACATTTGGTTAAAACCAATGGTCAGCCTTTTAGTTTAAACTATTTCTTTTCAAAACTATCTGCTCAGCTTTACTACCGGACTCCTGTCCACCTACACACCCCTGAGAGTGATAAAACTAGGCTAACATACAATCTAGATCTCCTGCGCATGGTCCACTGGAATCAGCTCCTTCTGGCTAGACAGGCAGCTGTATCAATGTCGTAATTCTGAAAAAAGCAACTGTGACTTCCTTCCAAGTTTAGTTTTAGATATGTACCTCTAACAAATACTTCTCTGTTTAGACACGAAAGAGATTATGTAGTTAACAAGTATTTATAAATACTAACAGTTATTTTCTGTGCTATAACAAGATAGCCAACTATGACACAATTCAGCATACATTGGCCCAGAGTCAAAGAGAAACAACTGGATCTCACTGATTTGCAGCTGAAACAGGAAACATCTGTAATTTATGAGCACAGAAGATGTCAATAATGACTCCCAGTATTGTCTAGGAGTTAATGAACTACATGAAAGTATGGCATGGTACATGCCAAATCTTAATATCTCAAGCATCACTCTTACAACTTTTACACAAAAGCCACTTTGTGCTGTTATCGGCATTTCATATTATTTATGTTTCATGAAAATTTTCCATAATTAAGGATTTAATAAAATAATCCAGAAAAATTTATTTCTCATCTGTTTCTCAAGATATAATATCCCAGAACCACAGAAACATGTAGGTTGGAAGGGATCTCAATGGGTTCAACTTCCTTTTCAGAACAGATCCAGCTAGAGCAGGCTGCTCAATGCCCTGTCCAGACAGGGTTTGCCACAACCTCTGTGGGCAGCATTCTCCAGTGTTTGACCACCCTCAAAGTATACCGAGTTGGGATTTCCTGTGTTCCATTTCATGTCCATTCCCTCTCACCCTTCTCCTGTGCACATCCAAGAAAAGTGTGCCTCCATCTTCTCTATATGTGTTAGATTTGTTATTTTAAAAATTCTAAGGTTATTTAAGAGGTATTTTATATAACTATGTAATCATGTTATAAATAAATATATTTCATCTGATCCAAAAAACTATCCATGTTGATGGAAATAATCTTATGAAACAAATATGAATCATGGCTCTCTTGAACTGGGATCACTATTTTAACAGTACCTGTAAGCCCGGGTTTCCTTGTCTTCCTTTTTCTCCTTTCAGTCCCTTCAGAAAAGAAGCATATTTTCTTAAAATATACATTTATTTGGGAGATGTAATAAGTTTAATTAACTATAAAAAATAACACAAAGATGTAAACCCTAAAATCTCAACCAGGCCAAATCAATCTGAAAAGTCATTCTTCAAGAGTTCAGAACAGCAACTGTGCAGAAGGACATAATCTCTGCTCTGAACACAGAGGAGTCAAGTTAGGATCTCAGTAGTGACATGATACTCTTCTTTCTCTTGTAGGTATTTCCATGACTTTTAGATAATAAGGAAGAAAAACCCACTTGTTATAATACAGTAGGTAGGCAGAGGCCAGGTGGTGTTACTTCGACTACAAGCCCTTATGTGATCCCACAGTGCCTGGGGCAGGCAGGGACAGAACCCATCCCAGGACAGTGCTAGGTCATGTCCCAGCACCCTGGGGCAGCAGCACAACCCACACCTCCGAGCCTGTACCATGGTTAGGACCGCACAGCTCTGCACCAAATGTCAATAGCCTGCTCAGCCCCACAATCACAGCTGGAAATTCATACTGGGCAGTTTTCCTTGAAGAATAGTTAGAGCCCACTGCTGCTATTCTTCAAGCAAACCTCTGTGGAGGTTAATCTTAAAAAAAAGCTCCTGAATTAACACCTAAGACTTGTACTAATAGTGTTGCCAGACAATTTCATTAGAAACAAAGTTGATATACCTGAATACCACTTTCACCTTGGTTTCCTTTGTCCCCCTGTAAAATATTAGAAGAGATGTCTCCATTGGAACACGATTCATCCCAAAGACCCGTAGTCTGTGTTTTAATTTAGCACAGTAAATACAAGAGACGCATCTAATAGCTTTTACTGATACTGAATGAAAACAAATCACTTTATCCCCATGTACACAAGCACTGAGAAAAGTACAGTTATATTAAGAAGGGAATCTGTCATAGAAAGAACAATCAAAAAGAAAAGTGTATACTCATATATCAAGTTAAAATTAAAAAATAAAACATAATGAGGTGGCAAAACCAGTGGGATTTCATCCACTCAGTGTATGGGAGTGGAGTGGATGTAGGCAGGGAGTGTGACAGTATTTCTAATGGGTTAAATTTCATCTGAATGCTAACTGTTAAGTATGCTTGCCTTCAGCCACAGAGAATAAAGTATAAATAATTTCTGTAACACTTATTATAAACCTATTGAATGCAGAAGTTATATGACACACACACAAAAGTATTTTTTCAATCAGAAAAAAAAAAATAAATTTAATCAAAACTGTGTAATGACTAAATTCCACTTCCACCCACTCCTTTTGACTTATAGTAAATAAACATTAGTAGAGTGATTGGTAATCAGATAGATCAAATGGTACTTAAAAGGCAGGTATCTAGGTTTATCAAGTTGTCTGAACACCTCTAGTTGACACCACAGAGAAACAAGCAGCTCTTGAAAACCATTCAAGCCAACTAACAGAGATATAAAACACATATTCTCAGAACATGTCTATCGCTCTTCATTGCCTGAAAAGGAAACTTATAGGAGATGGCTCCTGCCCTAACTCTACCTCTGAAACCAGTGTGACACTGTTTAAATAGACCTGAATCAAAATGTTGGGCCAAGAACACAGCAACTCATGAAACAAAAGACAGATCTGTGTCTGCATTTAATAAAGAAAAGAATTAGGATGAAGTTTTTTGAATGAGTTTTGCCAGTTTTCTTGTAAGAGCCAAATGTGTGTGTTTGGTTGTTTTTTGAAAAAGAGAATGGTAGTTAAATGCTAAACAGTAGTAAAGAGGAGATTTTGGCCATGGCAAATATTTTCCTGATTGAAAATCACAGAACGTAAGATGGTATTTATGCCAGCTGTATTTGATTGTATTGTACTCGAATGTAAAAGACTTGGTTTGGTTTCAAGTTTTAAAATAAGCTATAGCTGAAAGGCTTCACTTTTGCTGTCAGATGCCCAAACTGCACATTTTTCCTGAATAATTCAAGAGTTTGTCAAACTTATGACCTGTAACCCCAGTTAACCAGCAACATATATTCTGACTTGTATCTTCATATAAAATTAATATTTTGCAAAAGCTTCTTCAGCTTAAAATTTAGAGAGGTTCTATAAATTTTAACAAAATTATCCTTCTTAAAATCAGTATTACTGTCTTGGTACATGTACCTTACATGACCCTTAGATATTGAAACTGACTATATGGTGCTAATAAAACTAATTAAACTATTATTATGACACTCACTCATCTCAAGTCACTCTCCCATTGGCCTGCAGGACATTCTGAAAGACTTAAGCCAAGAAATCTTTGTCCTTACGTGCTCTGGAAATCACTGTTTTGAAACTGGTCAGAAGACTAATTTTTCTACATCTTGTCTTGGAAAACGGAACTCAGGTTTCATTATCTCATTTAGTTGAGATAACCTCATCTAAATTTGGATCACTCTCTACCCTCCATTGACCAGAGACTTGCTTCAGTTGTCTAAACACAGGCATTTAAGATGCTCTAGGTAACCCAAGGCATCCCCATGTGTGTCCACTGACATATGAAATACTCTAGCATACCTAAGACATCCATATATGGCTGGTATATATGACACTGGACATACAGGAAACCTGTGCCCTTCTGGAGCAGAAGTTGAAGTCTAACAGAATACCTCTGCATGGGATTTTCATAAAACTGTAAATATAACACCACCCTTCTAAGTTATTTCTTCTTTATCCTTCAAACTTTCTTTCCATGACGAAGCACCTGATTCAACTCTGTTTCTGTAATGCCTTTTTATGAAGGTCTTCATCCTTCAAAAGGTGGTTCTCTACATTGCTGGTAATACTACACAGATGCATTACCATTTTTTTTACTAACTGCATATTTCTGTCTGACACCTTACCTGAGCTTCCTTTGCTTTTACAGGATTTCCTGTTTATTCTGAAATCTGTAATTTAAATATGTAATGGAGGAAATTTTGCCCTAGTTGAGACCCCAGTATTTCCCAGGAAACATTTCTAGATTTCCAACACAAGTTATCAGATACATTACCTAAACACATTTGATTTATTTTATATAATTTTTTCTATATATTCAAATTTGAAGTTATAGCAAGATAAAAATAAGTCAGTATTTTAAAACAAGAAATATTCTAGGGGCTTTCCAGCTTCCAGTCAAATAAAAAGTTCTGCCTTATTGGCTGGGACAAAACTGACAGGTTTCAAGCATACTAAAGATTTTTAGTAGAATGTTGTCATCTTACAGAAGAAAATCTCTAGGAATGCATTTAATATCATGTTAATTACAGCTTTAAGTTATGCAAAAAGCTGTCTGCTTGAATTTCAAAACATATATATATGCCTATAATCTTTTCAACCTGAGACTCCTTGAAGACATGTGACTCAGAAAATCCTACATATCTACATTTTAAAAATAAGGATGACTACCCAGGTTAAGTCAAATATCAATACAAAATTTTACAATGTGTTCACAAAACAGTTCTTCAGCAAAAAAGAAGTTCAGCCCAAGCATGTCTATAGCAGTGTTTGATAGATGTAAGGCTGCACCAAGCAATGGTGAGATCCTTGAAGGCATAATCTTTATGAGAACTCAATTTGCAAGAGGAATAAACATAGGTTTGTCTGAAAAGAAAAAATAATTTTCAACCTGTACAGTAGAAGTAGGATTCATCTAACCTAACTTTTGCCACCTAAAATTTCAACATTTAATTTAGCTAACTCGCTAGGCTTCAGCTACAGTCAAAGAAAGGTGTAGAG